TGAGTAAATTGGATACCTGTATTTGTAGGTATCAAGTTTACTCGTGATTAGCAGTTTTTACTGCATAGTGAAGTGTCTTGTGTAGATGTGCCCACGGAGTAATTGGGATTAAGTTAAACTTTCAAATACAAGACATGCAAGAGACTTGAGGAAGAATGTCTTGCATTCAAAAGCTTGTCTAACTTTACACCAAATGGTCCAATGAGAGATATTAACCTAAGAAATCCTTGCCTCAGATCTATACAAAATCTTGAGAAAAGCTCGTTAACCTGAGCTGCTCTGCTGCTGGGCCAAGGTGAAAGTCGCGCTCATGACATAAAGAGATCACCAAAAGAGAGCCAATATTGCAACTCTGTGATCCACAGCATGAAATGTGAATGGCATGCAACTGCTCTGGGCACAGTGTGCTTTTGAACTGTGCTATGGCAATGGGTAGGTATCTGTGATGTCATAGTCCACAGTTCATGCAGTGACCAAGTCCTTCACCCTTCAGCTTTGGCCAAAAATTTGTTTGAGTACTGACTTGCTATTCAACAAGTTACACTTTTACAAACTCTTTATTAATAAGTCAAGCTATGTTACCACTGCAGATTTCTTCTAGGACAGTTACAAAGGTCTAAACTATACAAAGATATGATTCTTGACTGAGACAACTTTGCCAGCAGAAGCCACTAAAGTAGCTAACAGCTATACCAGCAAAACTGTATTTTTACCAGTATGACTTCTTTAGCTCAGTGTGGGGGGAAGGGAAGGGAAGGGAAGGGTGGGCATGGGACGGGATGGGACAGTTTTTTGCTACATTGCTGCAAAATGAAGCTTTGCCAGCTTAGCTGCTTCCATTCTAGGAGTGCTTTGATGTTCTAATATACTGGTACTATACCAATAAAGCATTCCTAATGTTAACATGGACTCAGGTCCCTGGCACACATTCACTTAATGGTGTAATGGGATCCCCCCTGATCCCACCAACTGCACCTCCTGCCATTCCACACATGCATGGCAGGTCCCATGATTTTGGGATTGGGAGTCAGACCCCAGTTGTGCCATTACTACTTGACAATCATGATCCCGGGCTCTCCCACAACTGGCAAATAGAAAGCTTGGGATGCCTGATGAGCCGGTGTGGTCCCAAGGCTGTGACTAACAATCAGTTGATTGTTCCCTGGGACTGCACAGGGGCAAGTTTGAAACTTTACTGTGGTCCTGGGGCTGAGGTCTATGCATTAAGGCCAGTCCCTGAGCCCCACCATGCAGCTGGCATTGGGCAGCATGACAGGGACCCTATCAAACATACATTTTAAGGCACAATGGGAACCAGCCATAAAATTATTATACATACTTTGTGGAATAATTTTGTGGCTTATTTACTGTTTTTTGCACCAGTAATTGCCTGAACATGTGGTCAGGTTACTAAGACATGATTAACTGGTTAATTGCATCTTAGATTCATAGATTCATAGATGTTAGGGTCAGAAGGGACCTCCATAGATCATCGAGTCCGACCCCCTGCATAGGCAGGAAAGAGTGCTGGGTTCAGATGACCCCAGCCAGATGCCTATCTAACCTCCTCTTGAAGACCCC